TAATCATTCCAAATTATCAATCATATGCTTGGGTCTTTTAATCAAAAAGAGCCTCTGGAGCAGAGTTCAGATTTTTAAGGAATAAAATTGACTATTTTTGTGTTAAATAGCACTGATTAGGTCTGTCTGGTTTAAGTTCCTGAAATGAAGATTGAAAGACATTTTATTTGGTCAAATTTTTTAAATCAATAAATATAATGGAAAAATGTTGTGATTACATTCTTTTGATATCTCCCAGTGCTATGGGTTACTGAATGATAGTAAACCTATACTTCAGACATATTTATTTTATTTTCTTGACTACAGAACAAACAAAAGCTGTCTGATTAAAAAGATAAACTAACAAAAAACATGTGAAAATATCATATGTGAAGATAATAATTAACAATAAACACATGCAAAGTGTGTTTCTGCGGAAGTGGTGGGAACAATGGGTAAAAGCAACTGGGATTGCATGGCAGATGTTTTCATTATGAAACTTTGATTATCTTACCAGACCATGACTTCTCTGGCTTTATCTACCCTGGAAATTGTATCCCGGTGATCTCCTGTACGAATGGTGCCATCCTCAACTAATAAGAGAAATAACTCTGCACAAAAACACTTCTTGCTATCAACAATGCTTTAGAACTACAATGACCAAAATAGGCTTTAAATATTAAACATTAATAATAGAAATTGAAATATTCTAAAATGTACCGTACTGTACTTTATATAACTATCCACTGATTTCAGAATGATGGTCCATTGCTATAATAATGTACAATTCAAAATAGAATATTGCATTGTTTGAGTGGTCAAATGTGCTCAAAATGGCGCCATACATACAACAAGAAGCTGAAACCCATGAATAGTTAAAATCGGTCATCTTGTTAAAAGCATGCTTACGCACCAATGTGGCCAGATGAACTGCCTGTAGAGCCTGTCTCCTGGCTCTTCTGGGGACTGGGTTTAAACCAGGCCTGCACGGTGTCCTCGTGTGGGACCTGATTTGGCGCTCTGCAGTTAAATGTCGGTCATCTCGCCCTAATATAACCCTGCGCCAAAGTGGGCCACCCAAGCCCAGGGGAGAGGTGCACCATTGATTATTTTTGGAGAAATCTATTGGATCCAGGCAATAGAGACAGACCCATGTGTTTTGGATGGTGAGAAAAAGTCACATGTTGTTCTATATTTTTTTACTTTAAAATACAAACTTAAAGGACATGTTTCTACTAGAGTTTCTAATTGTGGAAAGTTTGTAGTTTGCCCATGGCTTGGCCCTACTTTTCCACAACCCATCTTCTAGGTTGGATAAATATATCAGCTAGAGTTTCACGCCCCTCCCATAATGATTATGCCCTGTTTAAATCAATATAGTGTCCATGTGTGTATGTGTGTTAACATGAGAGGCAATGGCAGAGAGTACTTTGTGTACAGAATAAATATTGATACAAAGTAGGCAAGGGTCCAATTGATCGACAAGCGCATAACAGAAGCGCTACTGCTGCTGTTGGCCTGGCCCCGTGCTATGTTTGGTCTCTCACAGGAGGTAGATGCTCTGTGCGTTTGGTGACAGTGACGAGGAGAGAAAGCTGGACTGATTTTTCCTTTTTTTGCGGGAATTCGGGGCGCTAACGGAGAGCTAGCGGCTAGGTCATGAGTCAGCTGCACCTGTGAGGAAAAGGGCCACAAACGAGGATCTTTGCTGGGCTAATGTGTGACCGGAAGAGCTCCAGAAGGCACGCAGGGAAGAGGGAGTCATCTTCTCGATCGTCTGAGTCAGGGTCGCGATCAACAGATGCCACTGCAGCCGTAGAAGTGCCCATAGCCCTCCCAGATGGTATGATTTTTATGGTTTTTAAACAAGAGGATCCCAAAAACAACCACGCCCCCTAAAATAAACCACTCTGATTCTTATCTTGTGCAGGGATTTTGTTTTATCGATGCTTATCCCTGCTTATTGCTTGTTGTTTTGAAAATGGGTGTCAACTTTTTTTTTTCTCCAGTGCTCTGCAGCTCAGAGAGAGTTTATTTGAACTTTGGTCTCTGCCCTTCAGGCTGGCTTTCTCCCACTGTATTGTTGGAGCTGCTGGTCTTTGGAGAATACACAGGAAATCACTGTAACTACATGGGAATTTTGCTTTCAAGTATTTTTAGGTATTTAAAGTTGTCGTTTACTGCAAGTCGTTAAAGTTGAATTTCTGCTAAAGTTGATTCTGTTTTCCCAGAATTTGTCCATAGAGTTGGCTTATTGACATGATTATTTAAACAACCCCCCAGGCTGTTGTGAAGGATTGATTACATAGCACCCCATTCTGAAAGCATTAACACACAACAGCGCTTGTAAGCAGTTTACCTTTTTACTTAAATTAAGGTTAAATCCAGATAACATTTTACTTAAGTAAAGATGTCATCCAGTGTATTAAAAATAACTGCACAGCCTGCCCGCCTTCATGTCCTTAAAGCTGTGACATTAAATGAGGAAGGACTGATTATCTGCATGTTCTCACAAAGCCCAATGATTAGCCCCTTAAAGATAAGGCCATAGTGATGTGTTTATGTGTGAGAGAGTGGACAGAGGAGGAGTCCACTGTTAGTTGTGTCAACACACCCAGGCTTGTGTTAAACTGCACTTTTAATGAAGGCAATAGCTCACCTAGCAGCTCACTAGATTTAGCAGAGAATATGTGATATAAAAGCATTAGCTGCATTTGCTTTGTGTATGTTGTTTACTTGTGTAGAATACAGACAAAAATAACCTGTATGATATTAATTGAATGGTCATCTTGTTTTACACCAGTTCATATAAAACAGATAGCTTAAAGAGAATAAATGTCTTTTCTCTTTTTTTCTATTTATTGCTTGCATTTCTTGATTAATTTGAGTTTTTCTGTTGGAAAAGTATGAAAATTACTGCTCAGTGAGTCTAGTTTGAGCATATGTCTGTGGTTAAATGGTTAATTATATTTAATAAAACATTATATTGCCATTATATTGCAAATCATAAATGAGTGATATAACTTTGAGTAATGATAAACTTACTAGTTGCCACAGTATTTGGCTTAAGCCTGTGTTGGACTTGCATAGGCTACCTGCATGCTATAATGTCAATGATGACGAACACACTTTGTCTCAGTAAAGCCAGGCCTAGCTCCTGCATGTTCCAGCTTGGTTTACATATGAGTGAACAGTTTCGTGGCTGAACAGACCCTGGTTCCTCTTATTTGGAGAAGGTGGCGATGTTGTTCCTCAATCACTAAGGAAACTTAACCTTGCTGTCCATGTTATACTGTTGATTTACCTTTCTTATGAAGTGTTGAGCGTTTATTCCCATATTATTCTAATTTAGTCTGTATTGTTCTTAGTTGTGGTTTGTTTTTATTCATCTTCCTTTAAAATCCTCTGGAGGTTTGCTGCTCAGAGGCCTTTAACTCAGCCCTCTGTCCCAGCTCCTGTTTTCCCCCAGCTCCTGTTTGCCTCAGCTCCTGTTTGCCCCACCTGAGCTAGGACATCACATGAGCTCCTGTGTCAGTGCTGCAAACTTATCTAATGGGGATGATAAGTACAACAAGTAAATGTAGAGAGACCTTTAACTGATAATGTTGTGTTAAGTAGTGTGGCCACAATATGAAGCAAACCCCATTTTGATTCTCAGCAAAAAGCTCAGTACTGATTTGATTACCATGATTAAAAAAAAAACCAACACCTCAGTTTTGAATAAATATGAAATTATTTGATTTATTTGTGCTTTACCTACATTTCTGAATCCTTTTCTAAGGATTTCAATGATTAATACTATATTTATTGATGTTTTGTTTCTCTTTTACAGTGAAGGAGTTTCTTGCCAAAGCCAAAGAGGATTTCCTTAAAAAATGGGAAAATCCAGCTCAGGTGAGAATGAGCGTTTTAACTGCATTACTTTGACTAATAATTTGCTCATTGCAAATATGTTGCCTTTCCCTGTTCATAGAAATATTGCCCCCCCTGCTGGTGTAAATGTGTACTGTGTCATTAAAGTTCACAGATGTTTTGTTTTGTTTTGTGCCCTTTAGCAAACAGCAGCGTTGGACCACTTTGAGCGCCTGAAGACCTTAGGGACCGGGTCGTTTGGTCGAGTCATGCTGGTCAAACACAAAGAAACAGGCCAGCATTTTGCCATGAAGATACTTGACAAACAGAAGGTAGCTATATATACATATATATATATATATATATAGGTCCTGTATTTAATTTTGTTATGTAGGAGTACATCATTTATATAGTTGTTTTTTTTCTGTAATATTACAGGTAGTGAAGCTGAAGCAGATAGAGCACACACTGAATGAGAAGCGGATCCTACAGGCTGTCAGCTTTCCTTTCCTGGTGCGACTGGAGCACTCGTTTAAGGTACAAGCACATGTGATTATGTGATGAACAGATGGAAATTAGCCTTAGGCTGCAATCCGGTGTGTTTACATTCATGTTGTCATGTTTGTCCATTAACATGCTATGTCCCAATCAAATAAATAAATAAAATATTATTTTTATTATGTGTTGTACTGTACTGCTGCTCAGTTCATGACTAGAACAAGGAAGTATGAGCATGAAAGTCCTATGCTCAGATTTCTGCACTGACACCTGTGTCTCAAAGAATAGACTTTAAAGCGGCTCTGCTCATGCCCAAGTTTCTCTATGGCCTAGCACCAAAGTACATCTCTGACATGTTAGTGTCATATGAACCATCTCACACTTTGAGGACCTCAAGGACTGGCCTCCTGTTGGTGCCCAGAGTCAGAACTAAAAGCGGAGAGTCTGTTTCAGTTTTTCCAGCTAAAATCTCTTAAGTTTTCCTGAAGATGTGAGACAGGCCTCTACTCTGAAACTGTATATGACAAAATAAAGGATCTAATCTGCCTTCTGTATTTTAAAATGAATTGTAATATCGAAGCAATTTCAAGTTCTTTGTGCATTAAATAAACTTTCCTTGCCTTGGATGGTACATCTGACTGATGCCTCAGCACGGCAGTTGTAGATTTAATAAAAGGTCTGGCCAACTCAATCTTTGTTAAAGCTGACCAATCATATCTCAAAACATGTCCTAGTCTATGCATTTTAGAACTAAATGAACATCTTTATAACTGTCTGGCCTGCAACTCAGTCTGGTCTTTGTACATGATTTACTGTGGCTAATGCTCATAGCTTAGACTCCAGCTGCTTCATTACAGGTAAAGAAGACTTAATATGAACTTTTCTCTCTGCAGGACAACAGTAATCTATACATGATAATGGAATATGTCCCTGGAGGTGAAATGTTCTCACACTTAAGGAGAATTGGTAGATTCAGGTAAGATAATTTATAAATACACCTGTGTCTTAATTACTACTGCAGATGTTTTAAAATGATAAATGTATTTTGCAGTGAACCACACGCCCGCTTCTACGCAGCTCAGATTGTACTGACCTTTGAATACCTTCACTCACTGGATCTCATTTATCGAGATCTAAAGCCCGAGAACTTGCTTATTGACCAGCAAGGTTATATCCAGGTAAGAAAGAGCCACCTAGACTTAATTAATACATTTTTGTTAGTTCTCTACACATATTCCTAATTCCATATCCTTTGCATGGTTTAGGTAACAGATTTTGGCTTTGCCAAAAGAGTTAAAGGCAGAACCTGGACACTTTGTGGAACACCGGAGTACCTGGCCCCAGAGATTATCCTCAGTAAAGTAAGGCGAAGACACTGCCCCACCGATCACACTGTCTTCTTAAACATGACATGTATTTGACTTTTAACTTTATTCTTTGCTGTAGGGTTACAATAAAGCCGTTGACTGGTGGGCTCTGGGAGTGCTAATCTATGAAATGGCAGCTGGTTATCCTCCTTTCTTCGCAGACCAGCCTATTCAGATCTATGAGAAGATCGTATCAGGAAAGGTGAGACCAAAACAGATTCTTGTTAACATGGTGTACAATGGTTAAGGATGTACAAACAATGTGACCTCAGAGTTTATCTGTTTGAATTAAAATGGAAAATAGTGAGTCATAATTTTGAGAAACTGCGTCTCTTGTGAGATGCTCCCAGTCCACAGTTGTCAGTCTGATCCAGCAGACGTGCTACTGTGGCTGAAATTTTAATGAGGTTGACTTAATGTTGGTTTTGGTAGAATCATATCAGAGTACACTGTGCATAGCAATTTGTTACGGGTCTGAATATTGGGCAGGTGAGGCTCAGACATCAGACGACTACATCCTCATTAGCTGTTACTGCAGTGAGACCACTGTCTTTGTAAAAAGCCCTGTTCTGTCCTGTGTTGCCGGCTTCCTGTACACTGCACTGATTGGATTTGGATGTTACATTAAAATGTTGTGAAATACAACTCGCATGCATCAAAGCACTGAGGGGCTAGAGTTCAAGTGGTAACTGCAATGAGCTGTTATTATTTCAGACACTTAAGCTGAATACTTCTGTCATATCATTTTATCATCATCATTTTATGACCAATTTATCTGCAGGGGCTACAAGATGTTGATAAATGCAGTTGATTGCAACTCAACAAAAATCAAACAGAAAACTCTGTTTTTGCTGTTGTCTTGCTGCAGGTTCGCTTCCCGTCCCACTTCAGCTCAGACCTTAAAGACCTGCTGAGAAACCTGCTCCAGGTGGACCTGACCAAGCGCTTCGGAAACCTCAGGAATGGAGTCAATGATATCAAGGGCCACAAGTGGTTTGCCACCACCGACTGGATCGCCATCTACCAGAGGAAGGTAAGAGCAGCTGCGTCCTCTGCACACATTATGTTACACAAAATATTAATGAATTTAACAGACAAAACTATATCACCAACTATACTAAAATATATAACTAATAGGGATCCAAAATAGCAGTACAAATATCATCAGGAGATGTGTCAATTTTTTTCTTACAATGGTATCCGTCCATTGTGAAAAAATTCCCAGATATATTCCCCCCAGTCTCTTGGTGCTACATGCACATTTGTCAGTGCATCAGATGTGATGTGTCTTTTTAAATTGACTAGTGAATTAAATTTCAAATAGCAGAGCAATGGAGTCAAAGATGCATCTATATCTTTACAAAATTGTTCTTGTTCGTATTGGTTATTGACCACAACAGCAAGACAAATATTGGTTATTGCTTAAATTCAGAGAAGACTCCCACAGCTCACAGTATAAACACATGCTAAAAGCTGCAGTCCAAACTGAGCAAGTGGAGTGTAAATATTAGACTGTGCAGTAGTTTGTTAAAGTATAAGTGACTAGTAATGTTTTGGGTACAGAAAATGAGCATTTTACAAACAAATAAGACTTAATTAAATTACGTAAAGTATTATAATGTTTATCCATAATTCCATTCACTACAGAATCTTCTACTTTTATTATTCTCAAAAAGGTTCTTAGTTCATAACAAGGAATTAGAATTAGGGGTGGGACAACAAAATTTGGGATGACAAGACAGGATTTTGGCTATGTAAAATAAATTTGTGTGATTCACTTTAGTCTTCGCTTCAGAATTTTGTATAGATTTTACTTCATATTTTTGCTGTCATTGTAGCACCTTGTCAAGAGGTGTTACTCAGCAACGTTGAGGCTTTTTTTTAACCAAATGTAAACACATGGGAGAAAAATCTCACATGATTATCTGCCACATCTTGACCCACCCCTAACTGGAATAGATTATATTGTACATAATTATTTACAATATTGTCTGTTCTTTACCATCTGTGACAAATTCGACTAACATTTGTTTTAGGTGGAAGCTCCCTTTATCCCTAAGTGCAAAGGCCCCGGCGACACAAGCAACTTTGATGACTACGAGGAAGAGGAAATCCGAGTCTCCTTCACAGAAAAATGTGCGAAGGAGTTTGCTGAGTTCTAGGTCCAAACCGCGAGCAGTGGAGAGCTACTGAGACACAGAGATTTAGAAAGGGTACTGGGGTGGGAAGTGCTAGCGTGGACTGCTAACTTGCTTATTTGTAATGACGACAACAACAATGTAAACCCCTCCCCCCCCAGGTGGAAATGTAGGCTAAGTGCAGAAAGATCTAACAGAACCAGCAGTGTTGCCTTTTCTAATTGTTTCACAACTGTTACTTATTCATTTTATTTATCCCTCTTGTATTTGTGGCAGGGGCTTGACAAAGACAGGCGTAGTGGGTCGTGGATGTTCAGTAATGCTTGTATCTCTCTGATGGCGTAATGACATGTCTCTTGAGTTTATTCGCAGGTTGGAGGCTTTGATTTTTGTATTAAGGTACTGGATCTGCGACGCTGCTGTGTTTGTGAATGGGCTCCTCCTCTCGTTACAAAAACAAGTGATTGATTGTCAGCATTTTCACCCCGGTTACCCCTAGTCCATCTCCTCCATCCACAATCTGTCCAAGCAATACCAAGTCCAACAGATGTGCCTATCGCAATGCCTCCTCATTGGAAAAAAGAAAAAGTGGGGAGAGATTTGGTGCAGTTTTGGCTACTTTTGGATCCAGTTTGACCGAGGATTTGCACCTGCCTTTATCTGCTCGATGTGGCATGATGTTTGGGTAGATGACGCGCTCACTGTTTACTATGAAAGCAGTGAAGGTGAGGGTCTATTACAGCTCATTTTTAATAGGTCTTAATCCTAAATGCGATGGTGAGGTCTGCATTAAGTCTCTTAGCTGAATTTATTAGAGCATTTTAAAATCCTTTTGGTGATCATTTTGTCATTTTATGTCAGATCTCTATGTGCTCGTGTGTTATTTAGTGCTCAAGGGTGGGGTCATCAAAGGTTAAATGGCTGGGATTCTGCAGCCATGAATATTGTGGTCACACTCCTGACAATTGTTTATTTATCATAGTACATTTATACATGTATATTGAAATATATATATATGATAGATTACATTAAATAATCATCTATCTTTTCAGCTTTGTCTCATGGCTGTGAAATTTAATTAAGATATAATGAAAAAGTTGTTATAAAATTCTGCCAAATTTGCAAAACAAGAGCAGTTTTCTGTGTGGAGAATTTTAATACATAAAAAGTAGCAAAATGTTTCAACAAAATGTATGTGTTATTTTTGTACAATATCATGTTCAAGAAAGATTGCCGAGCATTTTGCTTTATAGTGCTGAGGTACCCGGGGTTGTCAATAACATCATAAATACAGTTTAAATGTTAAGGCTGTTTTGGCTTTGGTCATTACCCAAAAGAGGGCAACAATTTGCTGAAATTTGTCACAATTACAGAGCTTGCTTTATTTTCTCTTTTTGTAAATATCCTCTTGCAACAACTTCAGATTTGCAATCCAACCAAATTGTTTGATTTCTTATTGTTTTATTGTTAAATTTTAACTGACCTAAAATTCCCCCTTTTGACAAGTAGATTTTTCGTGAGTGCAAGACAATCGCAGACCAAATCTTGAGGCTGGTTTGTTGACTGAAATGTTTTGATGAAGGATGCTTTGGTCCCCTCCTCTTCGTAGGCCCTAGGTGCTATATACTTTGTCCATTTCATGTTGATGCTTTTTGTCAGTTATTTGGTGTGCATTGTTCTTTGTCATAATGTCTTGTAACATGACAATTTTGAGAATGTTTTGATTCTAAATGATTTCATTTGGGTGGGTACATCTTATTTTTTTGGTCTCTTGATGTAACCTAGGTCAATGCCAGGATACTTATTTTGAATGTCTTAAATCGTCTACAGATTTTAGTGCTGTTTTTGAATCATATTTCTGAAATTAAGCAACCAAACTAACTGCAAGCAGGACTCTCCCTGGGCACGACAAATTGATGTTTCCGCAGCACGCACTGGCAGCGCTGTGCAACCTTTGATTTGTCTGAGTGTTACATAAAACCGTGGACTGCCATCAACTTGTGTGGTCATTTGCAAATGGTAAAGCACATGTCACTGTTTTAATTTATTTTGAATCTAAACAAAGTACACCGCTTGACAAAGAGCACATGTATGTTTTTGTTCTGGCAAATGATTCGATCACAGTTGGTGGTATTGAGCCTTGATCCACACCAGACAATGTTATATTGTCGATTTAAAAACAAGTCTGTAAATTGTCTCTTAATCAGTTAAAACACTATCAGCTGCTCTGTGCTTGTCTCCTGTTTTTGCCTTCTTCAATCATGTTTTCCACACACTGTTCATTAAAACATAACACTTTTTACATCTGAAATGTTTTGTGTTTATATTTTCTAATTGTATTTTCAGAAAAAGGACAAAAATCTGCAAAAACACAACATTAATCTTTTCCTCATTACCTGGGTACAGTGATTGTGTAGTCTATTGTACCTTTTGGGAAACAATACTGTATATCCTTGCCTTTGACAGTCTTAACTATCTTACCCTCTGGAGAACTTGACAATATCCTTAGAACACAACGAGTATGTCAAAAATATAAAGTAATATTTTGCAAAATGTATCATTCCAATAAAGTTTTACTTGTTAAAGACTAAAATGCCTCGATTATATGAGCTATTCTCACTAAATTCATCTCTTCACTGGCTACACCGGATGTCAAGCTAAGGTAATTTTAAAATATTTTTTTAGCTTTTGTGAATGGTTAAGAATGATGCAGAGGCTCAGTTAAATAATGCAGAGTTCACTGGGTCACGCAGCAGGATCAATTACCTGCTGTACTTCAACCTCTCCAAACAGACTATCTCCTGCCCTCTGCATGCCATTTTGGAAATTGCAACTAGACACGCATGGCATTTGAATTCGCTTTCATTGTTGTGCGCGAGTTACTTTGTATGTGTTTGTGTTTTATTTTACTATAATAATACCCAATAGCGTTTTATACTTGTCATGTATTACTGCAAACAAAAGAATACCCGCGTCCTTTATCAATAGACCTTTACAGTATTTAACTATCTTACGCGCGTTTCTTTTTGACAAGTGTTATAATTTAAGGGTGCCCTTATCTTGTTCTTTGAAAAAGTTGATCTCACGTGTCGACGCGCACGCAGGTTCTAATTCTAGCCCTTTAAGTAAAACATGTCGCCTCTAACCTCTACTGCGCACATGGGGCTGAGCGCGCGCCATCCTCGTTGGCTCGCGCCCGCACAGGACTGCCATTCCACCTTAAAAACCTCCAACGAGTGAAACTTTTGCCTTTAACTCCGCGGGTCCACCTTAAGCGCACACGCAACCCAGGCTGGCGTACAGCGAGGTTTCCGCTTCTCAGTCGGGCTCGGACCGCGGCTCACGAAAAACATTGTGTGCTATGAACAAGGTTGACGCACTGAAGTAAGAAAAAACAAGTAGAGAAGAAAGCCACCGTGCGTTACCAGGATGTCTGAACCCAAGTACCGCGAGTGGATTTTGGACACTATCGACTCACTGCGGTCGCGAAAAGCACGGCCGGATTTGGAGAGGATTTGCCGAATGGTCCGGAGGCGACATGGGTCCGAGCCCGACCGAACCTGCGCCGAACTGGAAAAACTGATTCAAGAGCAAACCGTGCTCAAAGTTAACTACAAGGGCTCCATCTCATACCGAAACGCCGCCAAGGTACAGCGTAGGAGCAGAAAAAAGGACGATGTAACGTTAGCAACGGCTGGGAGAAGAAGCGCGACGGAGGAAGCCAGTCACTCAGACTTGAGCAACGGGGACAGCGCTGTTGGTCCCGCTGACCAAGATGACGAGGATTTGGAGGTATGTCCGCCTGATGCTAGGCTCACCTTACTTGGGTTACGCTAACGCACCATTCAAGATTAACAGGTGGAGAAAAACAGTATGGAGTGTGTGTTTGGGGAAAACGTGTTTTGTCTGAAAGGGTGCGTTTTGCAAGTGCACTCCACATTGCCGCAGACGGGGAGCGCCGAGGTGGAAAAGCAAAAAAAAACTGAAGGTGCGTGTTCAGCCAGAGTACGTGTGGGCTGCTTCACCCGCTCCAGATGTACTTTTAGCGGTTTAATGAGTCAATATTGCAAAGTTGTGACGTACCACTCCTTCACAAAACATACGCCACCATTATTGTCAGTAGAAAGCGCTTTTCGTGCCCCAAAGTCGGCGTTGGAGCGAAGGGAGGAGGACTCCGTTAGTTGACAGAACTTCACCCGGAAACGCAGCGGAAGTAGAAAGAAAATAAAACTCATGTGCTAGCGGCTGTTGAATATCGGGTTTATTTTGAAACCTGTATCTGGAAATGTACATATGGATAGTTCGTGTTTTGCCGTCGTGGGAGTGGGTAAAGGAAGAAAAAGTCTCAGACGCCGCGGATGCAGAATAGGGACGCTAGCTGGGACATTGTTGGGGAGTTGTTGAGTTGGAGGACAGCGGCGAGGCTGAATCAAAACGCCTCATGTCATGTCACTGCACATGATGAGGCACGCTGTCTCAAAGAAGACTCGTGCACACACCTATTGTTGTGTTAAACCACTTGCAAATCAGAATTGTTAGTGGCTACAAAACTGTCCCTCAAATATACCAAGTTTTTGTCTTAGTATATTTCTGATATTCTAAGCGGTACGTGATTGCCGTCGCAGAGCGTAAAGTCGAGCCCCTGCTTCCATTGTCGGACGCAGTTAAGCCCGGTCACGTCTGACGCTCGGTCTTGGCTGTTGTTGTGGCCTCTTTCATCATGTACAGCAACAGCATCACTTATATAAGGCATTAAAGAATAGGTTAACAGTTTAAGGAGGCCATCTATCGATTTCCAAAGTGATACAACACACAAGACCGCGTAGGACTAGGAGCAAACGACCGCAAAGTGATCGGGCAGCAGCGTTAGCAGCAGCCGGATGCGCCTGTCCGATTTGGGTTAAGCTTAGATCAAATGTGTGTTCTGCGAAAGACGATAGAAAAATGCTTTAGGCCAGTGTTTTGACCTGGTCTATCTGGGTTTGGCCGAGTACAAGGGTCAAATGTTGTCCGTGGAAGCGGGCGCAGTACTCGCATGTTTTTACTGTAAAAGCGTGCAAAGTCAAAGTGTTTGTGGGTGGGGGTGTTGTTCGGTCGCACCAGAGCGGGCCGTGGAGGTTTGACGGTCGAGATAAAGCTTGGTATGACGTGCCACAGCCTGAGGAGCGCTCCGTAAAACAGAGCTCAGACACAATGGCGAGCTCTTCTCCGCGGTTCCCCAACTCCATGCGCACTTTGGAGAGAATTTGAGCAAAAAACCCTACCGCCTCCCATCGTCCCTTTCGGTCGCTCGCCCCATGCTCGCATTATCAATCAAGGAGACGCGCCCTGTGCGTCGATTGTGTTTGTTGCGACTGAAGTCCCCGTTTGGGGCTCATTGTGTCAGTCTGGTTTTGGTCAAAGTTGTGTGAAATGCAGCGCGATGGGTGAAAGCCATACAAGCGGCTCTTTTCACAGAGCGGGGCGGGCTCAGTGCGCTCTTGTGCTCTGCTGCTGCTGCTGGCTCTTGGACACGCAGTCGCTCATACTGAGCCTTCGACAAAATCCCAACAAATGAAACGAGCGTTTGTGTAAAGAACTAGTTCACCGCCACAACACATCCCCCAGCTTTACGTGGGACATGGAAGTGACCGAGCTGCAGGCTGCACGAACATGAGCGAGTGGATCCGCACCGCGGAGGGACAGAGCACAGGCAGTAATTTACCACCACAGCGGTCAAACTGCGACATCTGTGTGAGCGTGTTTCACGTGACACGCTCTCCATACAATTAATATACACGTAGAGACCATAAACTGTAACATAGGCATTAAGTTCATTTGTTAATGATTTTGAAATGATGGTCCTTCATCTGCATTGAACTGAAAATGACAACACGCAGGCAGCGGTGTGCCCCATTGAACCCTATTCACCCTAGGTATATTGCATTAAGTAAGAAAAGGGGAATGTACTTTTTAATCTGAAATGTGAAAAAAATGCACTATACACTTACAGAAAATGCAAAACTATTTTATGTGAGAAATCAACTTTTGCATGCTCAAGAGCAGGGTGCAGTATGCAAACGTGATGTGATGTAGAAAATTATTAGGAATTGTAATACCAGCTATACATCTATAGAAATCCACATGATGTGAGTCAAGACAGTATTGAACATGGTATAAATACTGAAATCAGGCTACTTTTGATTATTCATGGATTATTTCATGAGATACTGAATAATTTAGGACAATAAGGAAAAATTCATTCACTTTTTAAAAATGTGTCACTGATAGCTCTTAGTGTCAGAATGTTGCTCATGTTTAAATGTGCATGACAGGCCGATGCCTCCATGGCCATGGACACGGACAGTAACGCAGAGGAGGCAGACGAGAGCCGTGATGGACAGGACGGACACTTCTCTGCAGTGGCTTCTGTCTCCTCCACCCCTGTGCACTGCCCCCCTGTGCACTGTCCCCCTGAGCGTGCTGTGTCTGCCCCCTGCTCCCCCTCTGGCTCACGGCCTGTCCCGGGACATGGCTCGGTTTTGGACGTGGTCACTTTCCAGAAGGGTGGTGTGAGGCCCAGCTCCTTGCCCCCCTCCAGCCCCAGGGCCCTCGCACACAATGACTGGGTTTATGATTCAACTGTCTGTTCAGTGGAGCGCCAGCACCCAGGAATGCACAAAGACAAAGGTATTCACACTACGAGATGGAGTTTCATCCACTTCCATTGTACTCACCTACTAGAGTGCTACATTAGTTAGAATATAGAATAGAATGCTGTAATCCAACCACAAATAAGTTATTTGAGCCGTTTGTATAAATGCTTATGTATTTTATAACTTCTCAATCATCTACATGTATTCAAGGGTAGTACTGTTCATTGACGAAGAGACTTTGTTTGGCTGGGTTGAAAATCAACACTTGCTATCAAACTGCTATCAAAATATAATTTTATCCTTTTGATACAATCCATTATACATTATTGTCATTGATAATATCTCTAGAAGAAAAAAAGCCAAACAGTTTTTTGGCAGTTTTTCAAAACAGAAATATCTGTTCTCTGTTCTCTTCATATACATATAAATCTATAAAGACTTATTGTGCTAAACGATTGAACTAATAATTCATTCAATCATATCAAACCATATTCACATATTTGATTTAGGATTGTGACATCTCTTTCAATACGCTCTTACCAGATACACAATAATAATGCGATTTTGTCTGCCAGAGTTGCTGCCAGTATTACTCAAACAAACATCACAAAATAATTTATTGAGAGCTCCCGAGCATGTCAATGCATAATGGAATTGGTTGGTTTTGTTTTACTGCAGTGATCACAAAACCAGGGATCCCGTCTATAATGAGCAGTGCTTTGAAAGTGAAGAGAGAAGAGGGGAGCAAGATTCAGGAAGGAGGAGTGACGTTGGACCAGTTGGTGCCAGACTACGCTGCCCGGCCGGTATAGCCTCTGCTCTGGATCTTTCATGGGGCTTTGATCTCGCCTGGATGCCATGTTTTATTTGTGTGTTTGTATTTCAGCATCAGGAAGAGCCCAGAAATGTATCCAACGGGCGACCCCAGACGCTCCCTCTGCCTACTGAAAATGGTGAGTTTGTATTTGTTCTGCCATTCCACTCTCTTCATTAGAATTGTATTTTACTTGTGTCCTTGAAGGTAAAAGAAAAAACAAGTCTTGACTCTTTTTATAGTTTCAGTTATTTTGCAAATATTATATGCTTTATATTAGTTTGGCTTGACTAGCTGATTAGCTGCCTTGGCACCAAGTCTCGAATAATCCAAAATGCAAATTACATAATGTTTAGATAATTATATGCACTTTTACGGCATTGAAATCAGGGCAAATGAGAGCCAAGCATCCAGTGGGATCGTCCAGGGATAAATGCTGTAACTATACAGGCACAAAAATGTAGAAACCAATGATTGGCTGTTTTAATAATTTTAAACAATTATTTTATATAATCAAAAAAGTACACAGCGGCCAATTTGAAGGCCTGCCCTTAGACCCTTTTCCTCAATAACAAAAAATATTTTAGGGAAAAATTTTTTTTCATGGCCCTTATGATGATGCAAATTTAATTCATATCGATCTTGCACACGTTATCATATACTCCGTCTCAGTTTCAGATAAATTGTTGTAATTTTGGGTTGAGTAGTTTTGTTTAGATTAGCCCCATGTGGGCCCTCTAACGGTATAGCACAGTAAACCTGGAGGAGCCGGCTAATGACAGCTGTAGTTTTGGCCTTTTCTATATGTGCTGTTGCCCTAAGGCTCGCTTGTGTAAGATGTTTTAAATGCTTCACAAGCCAGTCTTACAAGCCTCCTACCTCTCCTCTGTTGTTTTACCCAGTTTTTACTGCAAACGTATGTGTTCATAAGTCAACTCTGCTATTTAAGCTCAGGAGGAAAGGATTTCACTGTTGTACTGTGTATGCTTAAAGGTGCATTGTGTAACTTTTCTGGTGGAGCAGGGTACTTTCCTCCATGAAGATGTTATTGTTTTGTCTAGAATATTTCACAGTATGGTATTTCTATCTTCATGGAGAAAACAACAGAGGTTACAGGTTACAGGTCAGATCTGTGGATAGGCAACCATGCTCATAGTCAGAAAGCCTGTTTTTCTACGTATTTTTGAGCTATAAAACCACCTGTAATTTAATAAATATAAGGTAGAGTTGTTTAAGGTCATACTTTGGAGCAGTGACATACCCATAGAAAGAAGCAGGAGAAGAACCCAAACCGAAAAGTTACGTAGCGCACCTTTTAACATTTCATTAAGTACATTAACTACATCCTTATTTTCAATGTTATCATCTCCACTCATTGCAGTTTTATATTTTTTCTGACACTCTACAGTTTTATCCATACTATAACCTATATGTCTACCATGTCATAGCCGTACAATTAGCAGTGTTCACAGAAGGGAGCTTCTTTAAGCTTTTGTGCAACCCTGAAATCCTGATTTTCTGATATACAGTATGTGTTAGTGATATGCCTGTCACAAAGGTTATAATCAAATTGGCCTTTTTAACAAACTATTTGCATGCTCAGACACAAGGTAAGCAGAAATGGTTTTACTTTTTATTCGTGTTCTATTCGGAAGTGTGAAAGACATCTACAGATCTTTCTCACAGTATATGGCATTCAAAAAGGAGGGCAGGCATGTTGAAACTAGGGATGCAACAATACTCACTTTAATATCAAATCCTTCAATACAACCATGTCATCCTCTCCATACACTCCAGCAAGTTAATTGTGTGATATTTGCAAATACATAAGAAAACAGCTCTTTAAAGGCTGAACTCTGGTATATTTGAAAAGGCATAGTGATTGAACAAATGATTATGTTTATTGATCATAACAATAATAAATAATTCTTCTGAGGCCTAAACGTATTGAAATTGTGCTGTGAGATGTGTATTGAATTGTGAGAAAACTGTATTGTTGCTGTGTTGTTCCTAGTTGATACGCTTCTGAAAACAAAATTTGAAGAAAATGTAACTTTAAAATACTATTAATTTTAGGCTTCCACTTTTTAGCATTACATTGTGCACCGGGGTCCATTTATCAAGTAGCAGTAGTAATAGTAGATGTAGTCAGTGTTTGGAAGTAACTGAATACATGTACCGAAAATACATACTCTGAATACAAATTTTGAGTAACTGTGTATACTCTTTCATTTGATGGTATTCAGAATACAGTTACGTTCCTGAATTAAAGAGTATACATGGTGGTGCTTCATCATTCAATTTTGCCAGAATTACTGAGAAAAAAAGAAAACACTGCTCCCATAACAAAACAATAATAAAGTTGTTTGTAATGTCATGATTTTTACAATACTTTAGCAACAAATTGCATTATATTATAAAGTAAATAAGTTAAGTATTTGGAATACAGTATTCTGTATCAGAATATGTTACAAGATACATTTTAATGCAGGTATTCTGTATTTTGTAACTACATTTTCAAATAATTGTGGTCTTAGGAATCACATTAACCAAGAAAAGAGATGGAGCTGTTCTCTCAGTGGCAGAGGAAAGTCATGTGAACGGTGGGAGCAGTGAAGATGTGTAAGTATCAGACTAAATCAAATCTTCCACACACTTTTATTTATACTTGTACAATAAGTAAGAGTAAGAGTCATGTCTTTATGGTGCCTCAACAGTTCAGTGAAGAAGGAGACTATGAACCCAAATCTGTTGCAGTGGACCGTGGCTGATGTGGCCAGTTACTTCTCTGATGCAGGTTTCCCAGAGCAAGCAATGGCCTTTCGATCGCAGGTCAGTGTACCTCCACAAGGGGGCGTTATGTCCACACAGTATATCTCTGAAATGATGGCAGTTAATGTTCACGATCTTTTTTTCATTTACTTTTTGATTTATAATACACTTTCATATATTCTATTTGTATTACTTGTGAAGTTATGCAAATGTTATTCAAAAGTTTCACTCTCATAGATAAATGAATATTGTTTAGTTTAATTATGCATACATAAAACACAGCTAGGCTCCGATGCACTCATGAGTTATGCTTACAAAGCAAAAATATCTGTCCCATTTACAGGAAATTGATGGCAAGTCCCTCCTCCTAATGCAGCGCAGCGATGTATTGACTGGTTTGTCCATCCGTCTGGGTCCTGCTCTCAAAATCTACGAGCGCCACGTGAAGGTGCTACAGAGGACACACTTCCTGGAGTTCGATGACCTTTGATTCGCATTGGCACTTTCCATAAAGACTAATGCTGCATCGTTCATGTGCATGCAGTGGCTCTGCTCTCTTTCATATGCAGCACATGTCGACAGAGTGCAGAGATCTTCCACTGTGAGAATGACCATAACAAGACCGCCATCCTACCTCTCATTATGGCCTTTGCTATTCACATAGTTTTCATTTCACCCGTGTGGCTGTGCGTGCATTGCTTAGAGAACAGACTGCTATGGTCGAACTGTTTTATTCTTCAAGAATAAAATATCTCACAGCCAGGGGGATGGAGTTTTGCACGTAGTGGACCGTAGGGCTCACATACTCTGAGAGACTGCAGCCCTCAGGTCAGGGTCCACCATAAAGTTCATTGTTTGTGTTGGTGTCTTGATATTTCTGTCCTCTCCAATCTTCATGGTACTTTTTAGCCCAAACCAGAACCATAGCTGTCTGGTCCTCACCTTTAAATGAAATCAAAAGAGCTGTGAGTCAGACTGAACATACAGCATGCCCATTAGTGTTGGCTGCTCTGCTGTCACTTTTACCATCCGTAGTTACCGATGGTGGATCGTTTTCTCTAACGTCGAGATATAACCAATATAAAGCTTCTGCTACCTGCTGGCAAGGCAATATGTTTTTCCTCGTTCTCATTTAAAACAACTGTAGTCTTAATAAAGTTTCATTTTGGGGGAGACATCTATATATGTGACCAGGAAACATTTGTTTTCATATCATCTCTCAATAATTGAGAAGTATAACCTAATATAGGAATGAAATTGTAATTTATTGTTATGAAATGAATCCGGCTGCTCAGGGCTTGTTTACTGGGCAGACGTGTTGATAAAATGCAATACAAATTTATATCGTCAAGTGTCTTTTTGTGGTCTATCTAATCTACTTTAAATATTACATTCCACTTTGTACAGTTCATGTTGTCTAGTGTAATTTTCATTTTTATCTGTAACATGAACTAAGTCACAAATAAAGTACATGACTGTTTAATCTTTTGTTTTATTTCCTTCCACTGACATACCGTGTATACTCTCAAACCAACATACAATTTGAAAAAAAAAAAAGAAAACACATGTAAACAGATAGATTTCCTCTGTTATATCAATGATGATTTAATGATGATTACCAAGCAGAGGAAAAACTTGGTTAAGGCCCTTCTCAAATAAAATTAAGTGTATCCACAAATGGGAACAAGGCGAAGCTGAAAACGGTGATACATTTAAAATCCAAGACTAATTTGACGACCACAGAGTGAAGGTCACTCTGATCATCATTCACACAGGGCAACACATGTCAGCTCCAGGCTGCACACCATTTCAATAATGCATTTCAGGATCCTGCTTTTACAGCTCTGAACCAAAGAGATTTTCAGATTAAACAGAGTAAGGTACTATAAACAGCACAATGTCTCATTTTGAAGAAAATGCAGTCTAGATTTGAATGTTGTTGTACAATTAAACACCCAGCGCTGTTGGCAGTCTCACCTGAAAAAGGTCATCATTGGTTTGATGCTCAGCCCATGTCTGTTCATATGGAGCTAACATAGTCACCCTGCGTTATGTTTTTTCCAGCTGTTTCAGTTTCCCCATGAATCTAAATCTTAAACTTGCACAAATGTGAATCCTCCAGCTGGGTGCTCCTGGCCAACATTCTGGCTCTGAAGACCTGGAGAGGGTTTCCTGGTCGCTGCACCGCAGTGACCCACTGCTCCTGACAGGTTTCCTTAAGGCCGCTAATCAAGACTAATCTCCTCAGGAAAGCACTAACATGGACCACACCTCATTTGTTGGGGCACCCACAGAAAGAAATAAGATTGATGAACTGTTGTATTGATTATAAAGTCACATGGGATAATTAATTAAAAAACATGACTCATGAGGTAGCCAAAATAAATTATTTGCAAAGGTTGAATACCATTAGGCCTATTCATGTTCACAGGACATGTTAGAATACATAGACATTTATGCACCACTAAAACATAAATTAAGACTTTGCTCAAAATCCCACTGAAGGCCACAACCACAGCTGCGCTCCCATTTTGGCACATCTCTAAGTGGTTTATGGTCAATTTCTGCTCGACATAAAGAGGTCTATAGGCCACTGTTTGTTCCTGACTCTACAAGATGAAGGGCAGGATGGAGGAGCGCAGAGTGGGGTAATCTCTGAACTCCTTTAAGTAGCTCCTGTGTTTGCCCTTGGCCCACACGGTCATCTGGATGAACGCCACTGCCGTGAAGAAAGCCACGGGCACACATTGGGTCATCACCGTGAAGCCAATCCAAGAGCCCAGCTGGACACAAGAAGTTTACACACAAAACATGAATGAATGAGCACAGATGGTCAACAGTAGATGGCAGTATACATATATAACAACATGTTCAACAATAGAAATACACAGCCAACAGTAGCTTGATGACAGTCATAATAAGCCTTTGCAGCAACCCATTTTGTGTGGTGAAGATTTATAATAACTTACAGTTAACGGGCCCATATTAAACATTATAACATTCCAATATGTTATAATGCTATTTTCTCATCAAAAAATATACCTGCCAATCTTTACTGAACAAAAGGTAAAAGGCTGTTATTAACTAGAAGGTGGAACAGAGCATTTTGAGCTTTGGAGATGTAAACAGACTAATAATAAAGGATAATAAAGTAAAGTAAAAATAAAAGTAAAGGAAAAAGTAAAGTAAAATAATAAAGGATTTTGTATTAAGATTTAAACTCCAGGTTTGTTTTTGATGGTGTAACATTATAACATGTCTTAAAGCTCACCAGAGTCAATTTTGTGTAATATGGGATCTTTAAAGTATTTGCGTGTCTACTTTTCTTATTAACCAAAATCTGTATAATGTTTGGCTACTAATTTAAATGATTAATTTATCTTTTATTTGTTTGTACACAGCACAAATGTGGTTACCTCATAGGTGTAGTTTGGACATGAGACCAGCGCAAAAATCCAGGTAAAAGGATTCTTTGTCGGGTAAGGAATTTTCTTAACCTTTGATCCTGTGAAAGAGAATCAGTGTAACAATGTACAGCAGTACACTATGAAAGGAAGCATCCATAATACACTAATTACCTTGTGATTTGAGGTTCCGGAGAGCGACATGGATTGAAAAGTTGCCCAATTGACAAAACTGTTAAAGAGAAAAATAACATTTTACATAGGCCCATATGTGTATTTTGAAGAAAATAAAAAATAAAATATAAATATAATCTCATTCTTACCAGGAAAATATAAAAAGCTGTATTCACCTGTTGCTGACCATAGTCTAAGATGAAAAATACAGAAACAAAGGTAAAAGAGCAGATGAGATTTAAGTCTTATCAGTCATATTTTGATAAGTGTTGAGATGTGCACTCACAGGGCGGAGTGTAGAGTGGATGGTTTATGTAGTATGCCATCCAAGCTGCAGAACACCAGTAATAGCCACAGTTCTGAAGTAAATAGTGTTGAGAAATAAAAAACAAACATACAGCTAAAAATATGACGTATGTTAATACTGTGTTTGTGCACACTCACTTTGAATATGTTTCTGAGCGGCATGGTCCCGTGTGAGATGCGGTGGACAAAGAGCGTCTCCAGAATGCGCTTGATGTAGTGGAAAGAGTGACACATACAGGCCAAACTAGGGTATAGCACATTCAGACCAAGATTAGACAAAAACTGTGCATCAAGGCAAAGCCAAGGACTGTGTCAAAAAAACAAGTCACTCACTGTACGACCCAGTGCTTGCTGCTGGTGAAGTCATATTTGGGTGAATATATGAAAGGAAGGCGGAAGTAGAACATGAGATAGATGATGAGAGGACCTGCACACTCTGTCAGAAACACCTAAAGCATGCAGACAGTACACAAGGTCAGAGTAAAGTTTACCTATGGACATTACGTTTTTGGATAGTAAAGAATTAGTGATCTAAGGCAGACTCTGATGATTTACTCAATAATATAAACAAATAACTCTATTGTGTAGTAAATTACATAACACACTATAAAAGGAGACTATACGGGAGCTTGTAAGCACAGATATCCAGATGATATGATAAAGTGTAGCAGCTGCCGATGAAAGTGATCTCTGAATCAGCAGCTCACACAACAGGCTCAGTGCTTCACACTGGGACAGGGGGCCGGCAGCAGACTGGAGGCTCTGGCACAGGACGAGTAAGGAGGTGATCAAGAGGATAAACGCCCACCAAAAATTAGGCCATGAGATTATGTGTCCCAGAGCAGAGCATATTCAGAGGAGCAGTCAGTGAGAGGAAAACAAACCACATCAAATTGACTTAGTCTCTCTCGAGGGGCAGGTATTAATATGAGATACGATCAGAGTCTATTTAAAATTCACAGACGTCCATATATGTAATTTTATGATGTGTCTGTGCAAAATAATTTGATGAAGTAACATCCCATATCACTGACTGGTCAAGTCCTTTGGCATCTGCCACATCAATTGTGTCATACCCAGTTTATATTTATGCAATTACATAAAGTCAGTGTGCAGTTGTGGTGTGGACTTACAGTGCCCCATGTGACCTGAGGTCCCAGATCACTGAAGTAGAAGCTGGCAGTGGTTCCCACAGGAAGTGTCTGCAGAACATCTTCATCTCGAAGACACTTTCCCTCTGAGAAACAACAAAACCTACTGTATCACCGTATGAATACTGTACACATGAAATCTTAGACCACCACTAAAATTAAATTACAACTAATCTCTTTTAAGAATAACATCAACATACTTGGATCCAGTCGTAGGGACTGCCTAGCTGGGTACCATTTTGGATCTGTATGGGTTAAGAGGAAGAGCTTCGAGAAAAAAATACGTGTATATTGCATAATTATGCATATATAAAAGTTTTCTTACTTGACTTTTGAAACAAAGCTTTGATGTCCAAAATGGTGGCAGTTGGCTCCACCTGCAAACATAAACATATATACCATTCATAAAAGTATGAGTCTGCTCTATAACATAGGTCAGTCAAATGTATTTTGGCTTAAAACACAGGCAGGTGTAGTCCTTGTTTAATTCCCACACTAGCCTGCCCGACACACATACACATTCACACTAATTATGAGTTTGCTGTGCGGCTGGGGCATGTTCTGTGGCTGGAACAGGACATTCCTGACAGATGAAGAGGGATTTCTCACCTCCTAACAGCCTCATTCAGCCAATATGAAACCAACGTGATAATAGCCAGGCCTCTCATAAAGAAGATCATTATCTACAAAATATCAGCTCATGATCACTGTGCAATTTGAAGTCCATGCAAATCTATGTGCTGTGCCTGCAGTGTGAAGTGCTCCTACTCGGATTATATTTAGAGACTGTTTCATGTCAGGAAACTTATGGACGGTGTTAAACTGTAGAGATTGATATTTTTAGATGCGTCTATAATGGTACTATGTACGACAGCATGCTTTCTTAAATGTTACGTTTTCATTCCTGAGAAGCATAGGCTATTGGTCACTATGAAAGATAATAGTAATCTGACACTCACCTTGTCCAGCAGCAGAAGTTTCTCCTTGGTCTTAGCATCCAAGATCTCAACTTCAAAGTACACAATCCGTTTGGCCTTTTTGGGAGCCTTCGGTTTGGGTCTTGGGACAGACTTCTTTTCAGGTTCTGCTGTACCTACATTTTTGGCCTCTAGGGCTAGTACATCCATGTTTAATCCCAAATGCTAAATGCCTTGTTTGAAAGAGTACAGTTCTGGCAGTAAGAGTTGTCCTTTGCAGCACATACAAGTTCAACCACAACTCCAAAGGCCAACTTGAGAGGGTCTGCTGGATTCCTTAAATAGACTCTTCCCTGCAGAGGAGGACAAACAAGAATGTCAACAGTACGTTGGTCAGCGTCTGTAGTACATATGTTCAAAAGTGACTGAAGAGAGTTGTGAATATGCTCCTTACCTGAATGGCAGCTTATGCAGGGTCCATAGCCCCCCTCCACACAGCAAAACGCACTGAAGACGAAACCGGAGAGCCCCAAGACATAATCCATAGAGCGCCATTTGCAAGGCTAAATATAAGTCTCCTGATTTGCTCTGCACGAGCGCAGTAACCTTGAGAAACTACATACACCCCTATTCTGTGACAAATGCCAATGTACTCTTTAAGACAACGCTACTGCCTGCTCTTGTGTATGCATGAATACACGCTGACGGGCCATTAACAGACTGATCCATGGGATGAAAGACCTTGACATGCCAACACTTCGTAGGACCCCCAACCACCTGTGTCTGTTATGACTTTGACCTCCAGCTCAAAGACACATGTTTATTACTGCACTACAAGAGTCAACAAACAATAATCTAGCAGCACTGTGTAAAGTGTGTAGGAGAGTTAGGAAAGTGCTGATTGGGGGAACTTCAGAGGGGCCTGTCGTCACACACGGTCATCTCATCTTTGCACTGTATTCTATGGTCTATTAATACCCAGTAGGAGGAGTCCAACTCAGCAAGCAGTGGTCTCTGGGCTGGCATTCCAGTTTTGCTTTGGACCAAAACATTTTTTGTTTTGTCATGAACAGCATGCATTTATTTGCAAGGGATTAAGGACTAAATAAACTATGACTATGAGGGTAAACTATCCAAAATGATTAGTCTATAGGCCTTTCTACAGTAGGGCAATTGTCATACAAATGTAATTCTATAAGAAGAGAGAAAGAACAACAATAATGCATTGTGCATTGTGAATTGAGAGATGAAAATTACTCTGAAACTCTCTTTTGGTCTGTGCAATATATTTATTGTGAAATTCCCCTGTTAAATCACTACCATTTAGAAAATTCCCCAAACTATCAGGAAATTATTGATTTGAGACTCCAATAAGTACTTTCAGAAAATACATTCTAACATGGTCAACATACGTGAAGCACGTGTGTGTCCTTCTTACCTTAACTGTATAAAATATTATTTTTATTATTCACCATACACGCATTTTTCACATTTGCGCTCCACCGGCGCGCCACAGCCAAACCGGAAGTGTAAGGAAGACCTTCTCTTGTCGGCGGAGATGACGTCTATCAGCGGACAGCAGCATTTTCTTCCAGAAGTTTCTCAGCGTGGTTTTACAGCTCAGCGATTAATTTGACCCGCTGCTCGATGTCATGTGGTCGCATCGTTGTGGTGCTTATAAGAGAAGACTTGATAGACGACGCCATCATCAGATTGTCGAAGAAAAGCTTTGTTGACAGGAGCCATCCCGCGGTCTTGCTGCAATGGTCGTTGTAGCGTTGACAGCTGCGGCGGCGGAGCTGGTCTGAGCTACGGGAGGACATGCTGCTGGATGGGCTGTGATAGACCATTTTTGCAACTCTTTATTGTGCATTGGACTTATTATATGAGCTGATATAACGTTAGATAAACATAACGTGTTTGCTGTGATGGGTAAAGATTACTACAAAGTGCTGGGGATAGCCAAAGGTGCTACCGAAGATGAGATCAAAAAGGCGTACAGAAAACAGGCTTTACGCTTTCATCCGGACAAAAACAAGTCCCCGGGAGCAGAGGACAAATTTAAAGAGATTGCCGAAGCTTACGACGTCCTGAGTGACTCGAAGAAAAAGGAGATCTATGACCGCTATGGAGAAGAAGGTAATTTCTATATTTGTGACGCAAACTATGCTGCTGTCAGCTGTCAAAAGTCAACGCTGTATCTGTATTTATCATGCTTAAGTTTTCTTACACTCTGTAATCTACATACCAACTGTTATTTTTATGGGTTTGGAGCCAGACTATGCAGGGGCGTGGACACAATGGAAGTAGCCAATAGAAGCTACTGGAAACAACCGGGACGTGCATGTCCTGTCTACCTGGCTGTCTGCTAGTGCTCTCCTTTGGCATCTCAACCATGCAGTCATTTTGACCTTTGGCTCAAATAGTCTTAAAAGCAATTGCAGAATTCATAACGTCTAAACTCACTCCATAGTAGTTGCAATAGTTTTATTTTAGGATACACTCGGTTAGATAGCATTAGTAATTGTTTTGCCTGTATATTTAAGGTGTAGGCATTATCCATCATTGCATTGGTTTAAAATACTTTGAACTTGAATTTAATTTGCATATTTGCTTCTCATTGCAGGGCTGAAGGGTAATGCTGGCGCTGGAGGTGGTGCCCACAGTGGTCCGAGCTTCAACTACACCTTCCATGGAGATCCTCATGCAATGTTTGCAGAGTTCTTTGGTGGCCACAGTCCATTTGATCAATTCTTTGCACAAAATGGGGAGGAAGATATGGACATCCATGACCCCTTTTCGGCTTTCAGGATGCCAGGCATGGGTGGTTTCCATAGATCTTTCAAAGCTCATCCTGGAAGTCATCGCAGAGCACATGAGAAAAAGAAAGACCCTCCAGTTGTGCACGAGCTGAAGGTAAGCCTAGAGGAAGTCTACTCGGGCTGTACCAAAAAAATGAAAATTTCAAGGAAAAGACTGAACCCTGACGGCTGCACTGTGCGGAGTGAGGATAAGATTTTGACAGTGGACATCAAACGTGGTTGGAAAGAAGGGACAAAAATCACTTTTCCAAAAGAGGGAGATGAAACCCCCACCAACATTCCTGCAGATATTGTGTTTGTGGTCAAAGATAGGCCTCATCCAGTGTTCACAAGAGATGGTTCTGACATTATATACCCTGCTAAAATAACTCTAAAAGAAGTAAGTAAAACATATTTTAAAATATTCACTTATATTAATATAAAACTAAATGGTCTTTTCTTGAATTTTTCAGGCCTTGTGTGGCTGTACAGTCAATGCCCCAACACTCGATGGCCGGACCATCACGGTCACCTCCAGAGATGTGGTCAAACCAGGCACAAAGAAGCGCATTGTGGGAGAGGGTCTTCCACTCTCAAAGTCCCCTGACCAAAGGGGAGACATGATTTTGGACTTTTCTGTGAAATTTCCCGACAAACTGGGCCAAAGCACTCGTGATGCACTCAGGCAGATTCTTCCACCGTGACTTCAGATTCAGACACTGATGCACAAACACATTTCCACGTTTCTTTTGCCTGAACTTGAGGCTTGCGTGGGTAACAGCTGTATCCGCATGCTGTTGAAAGGTCCCCATTCTTGGGCCAGTGAAATTACTTAGACCTAAGATTAACCACCAAGGTTTAACCGTATTAACATCTACCTCAAAATGATTCCTGAAATATCATGCAACTTACCTGTAAGTAGGTCATGGTGCAGAAATACAAAGTCTCTGCAAAAGGTCTTGACTGAACTGAAGAAGAATCAAGTTTCACAAAGTGTTAAGGATTTGGTTTCACAGCAATCTGGATTTTTTCACAGCAAGAGCTGCCAGCAAATGTGCACAATACCTCAGGTGAAGGGCTATCTAGCTCTGTCTTCATCACAGGGCACAGATATGCAGTTTACCAATCAGATCAGTGGGACTTAGTCCAAACTAATCTGACTCCCATATTCACCTGCACTACAGATCTGTGACAAATGCCATCTGTTGGTTGGCTCTAGTTTTGCAGCTGCTAGTTTCTGTCGTTCTTTGCAATTTTAACAACACAAAAATGGACACTAAAAAGTTTGACTTTTTAAAAAAAACTAAACAATTATGCACCTTCCATGTATGTCTTAAAATTCCACAATTTTATGATTTTTTTTTTTTTTAATCCAATTATTTTAGTAGTACCATGGATAGGAAAACTTTGTGCCAAATTTTCTCCATTAATTTATGTATCTTGTCTAATGGCATTGGAAGCATGTAATTGATATTTAAGTAGATAAACAACAAAAGCTTAACTTAAACACTTAATATTTTATTTGAGCGTGTAAGTGTAGTCAAAGTGTATGTGGGAATGTTATAACTGGAAAAGTATAACATGTGACCAGTACCCAGTCATTTAATGTGACTGATTTTCCTTTGTTCATTTGAACATTACAAGCACACGACCTGTTTTGATTGTTGCTCCTGTGGGAACGCAATTTACAACATGTTGTGAAACTACAACACAAATGTAGAGATGTGTCATCTGTAATGTTTCACCTTTTATTTTTAAAAAGGTCTTTTAACTATTTCCTGAAAGGAAAAAAGGTGTAAGCCTTATTTGATTTCACATGTTTAAGTTTTATTTCTCAACATTTCTCAGGTCTAAATTTTGATTTGAATTAGGTGGGGTACAAATTTGTAGTACAATTTGTTTCTTATGCTGTGTGTCTATGTGTCCATATAAACATGCAAACACATCAGTCTGTGTGGTCTGTTTTTTTTTTTTTTTCTGCGTTGCCTAATATTTAAATTAGCTGAATTATATAATATTGTAAAAACTCTTAAGGCGTAGATAATAATAAATCAATCATGTTGCAGTTCCCACGTTTAGCCACTACACTGCAGTATAATCTCATAGTGGACTGAAGCATTCACTGGCGCCCTCTCGTGTTCAAATTGCAATTAGAAATGTATAAACTCAATACTTCCATGTCTCAAAGGTAAAATCACCCACTCTTATTTATGACCCTTATTTATACATTTAAACAAATATGAAAGATAGCATTTTCCTTGTTTATGATAATTTGTTATTAATATGATGAATACATTTAGAAATTTGAATAATACTGGAACATTATAATAAGCATTAATAATAACAACAACATTAATCCGCCTTCATATTTTGTAGTGATAAATTTGATAATAATATTTTGCTAGTTAGTGCATTGTTTTACGGACACAGGAGCGCACCATTGTTACACACCCACCCCTGCTCTGACAGAAGGCTAATCTGCAGTGGCGGCATACCTACACACACTCCTCACCTTACGAGGCAAAACCGAGGCCGTCCATCACCAACGTGGACCGATATAATACCCAATTTCCTCTTTTAATAATTATAATTTCATTGACATTTGATAGCGGGAAACCAAAGCTAAAAGGAACACGCTAAAACTCTGGTAAGAATTTGCTGGCCTGTCCTGTTTACTCGCTTTTAGCCGCAACAGTGAAGGCAGCTAACTAATCTCAGCTATTTTACTCACATTAGAAACCGAAAAGCCATCTAAATCTAAATCGGGGATCAACTGAGATTTATTTAGCTTTACAATAGAGCAGCGAAGTATTTATTCCGTGTGGACATAAGAGGTTTTATTGTTAAGAGGTGAAATATGATGCATGTTTTGTAACAAGAGCTAGCAGCTAACATTAGCATCATATGTTCAGAAAGTGAATGTTTAATAGCGCTTATGGATCCAGCAAGGATATTTGTTGTGTGAATGAAATACTTGTTTGATTTATACAGACTGACTTAATGTTAAAAGTGTTTACGTCTATAATGTTATGTTTTTGTATTTTCTTCAGGTAATTGACAACAATCTGGGCTGCTGGACTAGAGAGATCCAGCAATGTGAGCTGTTGTAATGAATGGATTTGTTAAACACTGTGCCTGGTTAAGCAAGCCCGTAAGCTCTTTGGGAGTATTGTTATTCTCCTTATTGCCCAGCACCTGTAGCTGGTTTAAAGCCACATAATGCCCCTGGGTATTGGAAGAAGGAAGAAGGCCTCTTTGGTGGATAATGAAGAAGCCGAGCCCATTCGTGGGGGTCTGAACGTGCCTGGGATGGATGGATTAGATGGAGGTGGAGGCTGTGGAGAAGGGGCCACCTCTGAGGGTCTACCCCCACCCCCCAGCAGCATGAGACCCAGACTCATCTTCCACACACAGCTCGCTCACGGCAGCCCCACCGGACGCATCGAAGGCTTTAGCAATGTACGAGAGCTCTACGCCAAGATAGGGGATGCTTTTGGGATCCCACCATCAGAGGTTAGTCATTTTACTTATCACAGTTAATCTGCTGTCAAGTATGGGTATAAATATCTTTAATTGTGTATGTCTCTCTTCAGATTATGTTTTGCACACTTAACACTCACAAAGTAGATATGGACAAACTGTTAGGAGGGCAGATTGGGCTGGAGGACTTTATATTTGCTCATATAAAAGGTCAGAAAAAAGAAATCATTGTCTATAAAGGAGAAGACGCCCTGGGACTGACAATCACTGACAATGGAGCTGGCTATGCTTTTATTAAGGTAAACAGGATATTCAAAGCACAGAGCTTTATATTTCAAAGATTTCATATTCATATTGTTATTCCAGAGAATACGTGAGGGCAGTGTCATACACCAGATTCAGGTCATAAATGTGGGTGACATGATCGAGTCCATTAATGGCCATCGTCTGATTGGGTGCCGACATTATGAAGTTGCCAAAATGTTAAAAGAACTGCCGAAAGGGAAAGAGTTCACCATCAGGTTGATTGAGCCACTTAAAGCTTTTGGTAGGTACAAGAAGCATTAAATCTATTCTAACTTTTCTGCTCTACTATTCAAACCTCAATGTTTTTTCATTTCCTAAAAAAATTATATGTAATTGTTATCCAGATATGATCAGCCAGAGATCGGGAGGGTCTCGGTCAGCATCAGGAATTCAGCTGGGCACCGGTAGAGGAACCCTGCGACTGCGGTCAAAAGGTCCCGCAACAGTGGAGGAACTGGTGAGTGCCCCTCAAATACATTTTGCAAAATATTCTAATAGCAATAGTTTATGTTACCCAATAAATGAAAGCAGTGCAAGCAGCATTTAACAGTTACAAATATTACCTAACACCTTGCAAAAACATAAAAAATAACATTTATTTAACATTTATTTACCTAATTTGGATACTAATAATACTGTACATGTAGGACAGTGCATATTATTGAACCCCTGCAGAAATTGTAGTATATATGGCAACTGTAGCAAAGGCAGTTTCCACTTTGTCCAGAGGCCAGTAACAAAGAATTAGACTAAACATTACACTAACAAACAACACAGTATACCATTTATTTGTTGTATTTTTTTGCTAAGTCATAATAATAAAATATTGTACAACTACCTTTCTCAGCCATCTGCATTTGAGGAAAAAGCCATTGAAAAAGTGGATGATTTACTGGAAAGCTACATGGGCATCAGAGACAGTGAGTTGGGTAAGTGCACGTTTGTGTTTTGTATTGACCTCAGGATTCAATGTTACGACCGTTATATAATGTTTCTGTACTCTCCCTACCAACAGCGGCGACCATGGTGGAGCTGGGGAAGGACAAAAAGAACCCCGATGAGTTTGCAGAGGCTTTAGATGAAACCCTGGGAGACTTTGCGTTCCCGGACGAATTTGTTTTTGACGTGTGGGGGGCCATCGGTGACGCCAAGGTTGGACGAGTTTAACCTCATTGGAGCAACATCTGTCCACTACATTCAACACTACTAAGACTCCACCTCTGTTAGTTTTTATGCTATGTTTACCTATTATTTTATTTAGACCATATGATTTTGTAAGTTTTATTGGGAGGAGATCGTTACTGTGATGACTTCCAGATGCTATTATTTGTCTTCCAGAGTTGTCGCAAATCTAATGGCAAATTGAGATTAATCTTTGACCAATCTGCGCATAATTTTTGCTTCATTGTTGTAGTCACTGGCAGGGACGCGAATAATGATGTATAGGAAAATAACATGGGAGAAATTAAACTAAATGGCTAACGCAAAGTTACATTTTAGATTGAGAAGAAAATCTGATATTTTTAACACATGTAGCACTGTGCTGAAAAACAAAAGTGAATGGGATAGCATTGTACCTTGGTGGTTTACAAAATACCAACCTCCCTAGTATACAGTGACGTTGTTCCATGCATGTGCTGGTATATTTTGTCATTCTTAGTTTATGCTGTTTTTAATGTTATATGTGGTTGCACTGGGATCATAGTGGAGTGTTGATGATAAGGAGTTCAAATCCACAGTGCATTGCTGTAAAGGCAGGCGCACGTTCCCATAGATTTGACTGTGTTTACGGGAATCAGTGTTATTTTCTGAAGGTCAGAAAGAAAGAAAGGAGCAGTGTGTTACAATGTCTGTGTTTTAAAGGTTGTTTTATATAAAGCAATGTTTTTATTTTTTGAAACGGTGTTGAAAGAACTCTAATGTTTTTAAAGCATTTGAGTGAGCAGTATTAAAGGATGCCAAGTTTAAGAATGGGATTATTGTGCAAAACAGTCTAAATTCAAAATGCCTTTTGTCACATTTTTACATTTTGTCCAAAGTTTGCATCGTGGTGCATGACACTGTTATGAGGTCAAGATTGTTGGCAATCTTCCTCCATTATGAGTCATGGTGACTTTTGTCCATAAAAACATTTATGAATTGTTTATGCATCTGCTATTACATACATCTCAAAGGTATTTTGGTGTTGCCTTTTCACTACCCTCTGTATATTCAGAACTTCAAAACACTATTTTGTACTACATTTTGTTTGATTTCATGGATTATGTAATGGAAATGATGCTATAACACTGTAACACTGAAGAACACATTATTTTGATGGCTTTGTATTCTACACTGTTGTCGATGTCTGGTTATAATACAATAACAGTGACATGGCAGCTCTTTGTGCCCGTTTGTTCTTTACCCCAGTACCATCCTGAAATATACATGGCATTATCCAGACAGTAATATCACTTTGAGTGTCAGCAGGCATTAGCAGCAATGTAATGAGACCCATGATAGTGAACCTGATAGCACCACTGGTCATCTTCAACAGGGTCATTTCCAGTGCCAGCCCAGCTCTCCTTAGACATCAACACGTGTTGCATAACAATTTAGTTTCTCTGAAAAATTTGTGAGAAGTGTTGAGGTAAACATGACTTTTGGCTGAAAGTGAGTCCAGGAGAACAGGGGGTGGTGACATGTACTAGAAAGAAACGAGTTCATCAAGTCTCTGTTTATGTATAACACAGTGGTTTGTCTAAAACAATACTCAGTCCCCATCACAGAGGAGTAGAACTCCATCAGAGAAGGCTCTAATCAAGAATTCAATCATCCCAGAAGCCAACAGCCATGGCCCGACCTCGTGCTTCCTCTCAGCCTGGGAGACTGTCCATTTTCAACACCCCCAAAGTGGCCTCCACTCTGAGGGCACGGGCCGTGACCTCCCGCTCAGGCTCCATGGAAGACGAGCTGTCCTGTCCAGTCTGCTGTGAGATCTTTAAGGACCCTGTGGTCCTCAAGTGCAGCCATAGCTTCTGCAAGTCTTGTCTTCAGGTGTTTTGGAACAAGAAAAAAGCCAGACGTGAGTGTCCCGTGTGCAGGAGTAAGTGCTCTCTGACTGAGCCCACGGTGAGCTTGGCTCTGAAGAATGTGGCAGACACTTTTCTAAAGGAGCAGGAGCGAGTTGCAGCCATGGCCCGGATAGGAGCGAAGAAAGAGAGTGCACCTGACGAGAAGTGCGCTGCTCATGGAGAGATCCTCAAGCTCTTCTGCTTCAATGACAACGAGGTTTTGTGCTGCGTTTGTCACACGTCCAAGAAGCACCTCGGACACAGAGTCTGTCCCCTGGAAGAGGGAGCTCAGGATCTGAGGGTAATTCATTGTTTTATGTGGAAATAATTCTTCTCCATGTATGTAAAAAGGTAATCTCTCCAAATTAAACGTTGGGTTCTTTTGTTGTGTAAAGCTCCACATCAGAAATTACTTAAAAATAAAGTCTCATAATTTATTACACTGGGTTTAATTTTGATATTTAACATCTAATTCCAGTCAGAGCTGAAGACTGAGCTGATTCCTCTGAAGAAGAACCTGCGTCGCCTGTATGAAGCCAAGCAGGAGTGTGATGACACAACTGTGCACATAAAGGTATCAACAAACTCACCAGCAGCTCACTGTTACCCCATAAACATGTGCTCCCAACAAAATCAAAAGCACTGATGTGGAAATGTACCTAAATGAAACCAGCATGAGATTAATAAATAAATAACTAAATAGAGTAGAGATGGGTTTCAATGCTGTGGTGTAGTCCTTTCAAAAATCTAAGAGCACATTTAACACGTTTAACATGAACAACAAGAGTTAAGAATTAATACTAGAAAAGATAAACAGACCACTGCTCACCTAATAATTGGGAGATAGGCAGGTCAATCTCTGATGCCTCAATGGGGGTGCTCTTGGGTTAAGACACTTCCTTTAAATAATGATGAAGTAGAGCAGTGATTCTCAAACAAAGCTTTTTAAAGTTATTATTTTTGAAGTTACTGTCCTTTACGTTTGCTCCTCTACAGTGCTATCGGTGTGTACTATTTGATCTAAAATTAGACAAAATCATGGATAAGGTAGTTTTAAATAATGATTAGCCCAAAGGAGAACAAAAACTGTAAGGGATGTATCTCTAAATATAACAAATACTCAAACTGTAGAGGGACTGTTGTTTTAAAACCAGTCAATACACCAATCAATACTTCCATATATCCGTGGGTTTCAGCATGCTGAAAACACAGAGCAGCTAGCATTTTAAACAAAATATTATGTCTTATGAATAATGAGAAAATGGAAAATAGCCATGGGTATATTTACATTGTATGTTCATTAATATGCATTATTCCTTTAAATAAATACATAAACCTTAAAAAACAGTCCTCAGAATATAACTGTAAACTGTAACGCATGAGTAGAATGATCAGCAGTGTCAGAATAGTGTGTGATAGTTAAAATCCTCATTTTGACTTTGTTGCCTTGGTCTATGTCAGAACCAGACACAGGAGACAGAGGATCAGATCCGACAGGAGTTTGAGGAGCTAAGGGCGTTTCTACAGAAAGAGGAGGAGAGCCGACTGTCCACACTACAGCAGGAGGATGAGGAGAAAAAGGAGCAGGTGAAGAGGAAGGCCGAGGGCATCACCAGGGACATCCTCATTTATTCTCACGCCATAATCGCTATCGAGAACGAGATGGCTTCAAGTGATGCCCACTTTCTACAGGTCAGTGAGAGACGTTATTAAGGGCTTCATGATCATTTGTCTTATACATTGCTTTTCCAGATACTTAAAGTTGCTACACAGTTTATTCATTTATTTCATACTTCACACACCAATCTAAAACGTTGACCCATTCTACCACCACCAATCACTCACTCCCCACATTCATTTTATAGGCAAGGTGGGTGAAATGTCTTGCTTAAGGACACAGAAAGCATATGGACTAGGGCCACTGTTGCCAAGATATGGCACCTGGTATTCCTGGTAGTGGTCTCCCATCCAAGTATTAACCAGGTCCAACTGTACTTAAGTTCCAAGTTCAGATGAGGTCTGGCACTGAGAAGGCAATATGACCTCTTAAGATATACTGCTTTATATCAGTGATTCAATGCTTCTCAGTTGTACGTTCAAACTCAGGCTCCGTTAACTCTTCCTAATCATGAGTTTTAGAGTACATAAGATATATAAATAAGTAGGCTATTATAATGTTTAAAAAACCAAGGCACTCTTAGTTCTAATTTTAGTTCTTAACAAGATATTAACTTAAAAATTCATGTTCACACGTTAGTGTAAATACTGCAATTCACAACAACAAATGCATAGTAGAAAAATATAAGTGTTAAAGATGAATGAAGAATGTATAATTTTTAGAGGACAAATCTTATGAGGATATGCTATGTTAGAAATAAGCATTGAATTCAAATTATTTACATAAGTTTAAAGAATGTAGTTTTAATGGAAGGAGGAAAAATTAAACAGCCCTCCTTTGAGGCCTGGAAACTGTGTAGCCTTGAGAGTATAGATCCAGTTAAAGTCCCTTTGAAAATGTTTTTTCAGTCCATCTCCTCCTCTTATTGTTTCTGTAATGTGTTCTATTCATGTGTGGGTTCTTTATAGTGCATGACCAGGAGAACAGGGCGTTACAGGTCCTTATAGTTTGTTTGTATTCAGCCTGTTGTATTCAGTTTTTGTGTTTTGTTCAGCCTGTGTAAAAACAACCACATAATTAATGAATTTCCTTCAAGATAAGTAAAGTATTGATCTATTCATAGACATTCAAGTGGTGTTGCAATTAATGATTCTTCTGATATTAAAACTTTGACCTGATGTGATGTCCATGCTGTGCATGTTCATAATAGGTACAGTTACCACACCTGAGGCAGCTTTCAGTGGGGGAGAGGGAAACAAAAACATGGCTAAACAATAATGCTGGCTTCAGGTGTGGTAACTGTACCCATTGTGAACACGTACAGTGGACTCATTCTTTCTTGGACTTTGTATTTGTTGTTTGAATTGCAGTGTTTACACTAATGAGAACATGAATTATAATTTAAATGTTTCTAAGAACTAAAATCTGTTCAGCCTACATATTACATCAGGTGGCTTTATGTGCCAGTCCACTTTGAACCTGTGACCTACACCTATGACTTTAAATCTGCACTTTGACAGCCATCTCGAGTTTTCCCTGTTGGGTGCCGAAGGGCGAAATAGGTTGCCATGATTTAAACTTTATTTGCCATGTAATAATCAAGGCTTTTAATTATTTTGTGTTTTTTGAGTGCCTCCATTTTTCAGCTTTATATTTGAGATTGGACCCTGTACTGAAGAGCACCAAAAGGGCAACTTTTCACAATCTACACTTTCTTCTTCTGCCTCCTAAGGCCAAAACAAGAAAACTCATGTGACTGAATCCTAAGTGGCCAGACAGCAATCATGCCCTGAGTGACAGGTGGATTTAACCAATCACAGAGAAGTGTGAACGTTCTGAAGAAGCAAAGCACTTAGCTCTTAAGGCCAATAGTGGAATTTATTATAAACCCCTTTGTGCTTATTACCTCCGCCAAGGAGGTTATGTTTTTTCCAGCGTTTGTTTGTTTGTTTGTTTGTTTGTCTGTTAGCAATTGGATTCTGGATCACTTTGAAATTTTAGTTAACATTGTGGTAAATGGGGCCAAAAATTTTGTTTCTCAATATCTCGGTTAATTATTGACCAAACCCCATGAAATTTGACTCAGGGATGGACAATGGGATCCTCTTTCATATTCCAAAGGCTGATCCGGATCTGATCCAGAAGACTGTTTTTATCACAATTTATATAAAAAATGGGGGTAGTCCTTGGCGGAGGTCTGCGCTCTCTGAGTGCTTTTCTAGTTATTAATATAAAACAAGTTATTACACCTATTAATTATAATTATTATTAAGGCCTTGGGTCATTCTGCTGCTGTACTGGGCTATTGACTTTGTTAACTGTATATAAAATAGTTCCACCATTCTCAGGTTTATTAAGTTTATTTATTTGATATTGTAAATTAGAGAGGTTTGAGTTTTTTGTTTCTAGTGATGACTTATGTTTTAACTAAAAATGACTCAAAACAATTGATTCAATCCCACATAAAGCAGTTTTTCTTCTTTTTATTTCTTTTCAGAATTTCAGCAGCACAAGAAAGAGGTATGCATTTTCTATTTTTAACAATACATTTTCACATTTTGATTATTATTTGATTATTTTGTTGACTTCACAGAGCACAGCTTACTTTCAGAGAACCAGAGAAACTCCCAGGTGTCCTCATTAATGTAGCCAAGCACGTCAGCTCACTCAAGTATCACGTGTGGGAGAAGATGGTGGATCTGGTTGAGTACAGTAAGTACAGGTTCCATTCACTTAAAGAGGTTATTTATTACATTGAACTGGAGGCTAAGTCAAAACTATATGCAGTAAATTGGTGTTAAAGATACATTTTTGAGGATTCATGTGAAACCAAAACTAGGAGTTCAACATCTTCTGTGGAAACACAATTTTAAAGATGCACTATTTAACGTCTGGTGGATTGTTCACCATTTGTTTTTACTATGTTTGGAATTTTACTCAGTGTGACTTTTATTTAATTACAGGTTTTTAGTGCAGAAAAGTAAATAAAAACTGACCTGCATCTGTGTACAAGTGTAATATTTAAGTGTAATGCCATAGTGTGGAACCTTCTAGTGTAAGCAATAACATCTCAGTGGAAACAAGCAGATGACACCCCATCTACCCGAAAAGTTTCATAGTCCACCTTAACATTATTTTTTGGTGATATAAATACAAGACAGATGTGATAGTGAGCCATACATTTTGTGGATAATTGTTTTTCTTCCTAATGTTTATACTCATCAATAGAGATTATAAAATAAAATAAAAATGCATTATATTTTGTAAACCTTTATTTGCTGCATAAATGTTGTTTTCCTTGCAGCCCCCATCACCTTGGACCCCAACACCTCTTACTCTTGGCTGTCCCTGTCTAAAGACCTAACCAGTGTCTCCAACAGTGGCTCTATGAAAAAGCTCCCTGATAACCCAGAGAGATTTGGTCACTTCGTGTTTGTGCTAGGTTCGGAGGGCTTCACTTCGGGACGCCACGCCTGGGAGGTGGAGGTGGGTGACAAAGTGGACTGGATGCTTGGTGTGGTCAAAGAGTCCATAGACAGAAAAGGTCGTATTTCCGGTTGTCCCGAAGGAGGTTTTTGGATGATCTCTTACTGTGAAGGGGAGTACTCCGCCATGACAAGACCCAGCACCACTCTAAACCTGGACTCTCCTCTGTCCCGGGTCAGAGTTCAGATGGATTACGACGCAGGAGAGGTCACATTCTCAAACCCCATCACCATGACAACAATCTACACATTTCACGACTTTTTCACTCAGAAGATGTTTCCTTTCTTTTGCCCTGGAGCCAACATCAATGGCAATAACCCCAAACCCCTGAAAATCTGCCCTGTTAAAGTGGCCGTGTGGAACAGTGCCTCCTGGTGATACAAAAGGACATTTGCATCTACCCACTTATAAAAGGTCTCCCATACAGACACAAGCTAATTTACAGACTTCCACTCAATTTCACATTAATTCATAAGGGTTAAGTTAGATCTATTCCTCTTCATGCTCCTCTTTGACAAAGAAATTACATTTGAAGAACAAATATAACAATAATTTTTATTTTTGATTAAAATGTATTACAATGAGAAGATGTTAATTAAAATATTTTGATTACATTTGTGTTAATTTGTTTATTAACTGCAGTGTTGAATCTACCAGGGGACGGTTTCGCCTTTCCAGTTCAGTAGGGCCCCACAGTGCTTCTCTGTCAAAGAGTTCATCACACGGAACATTCCTTCAACGCTCTCATGAGTGTCTAACTCCCCCTGGAAATCAGAAACAGGAAATACATGTCATTATAAAACAAAAGGGAGCTACGCAAGAGACAATACATGTACATTTAGTAATAAATTAACCCATTCATAAACAGTCAAAGGGGTCAGTCCATATGAAATCAGCCACCCTCCCCTATGAGCCATCTCAGATTTGGCTGGAAAAAAAAAAAAAAAAAAAAAAATTCTAAAATGACCAAATGAAAGAATCTAAAATTTTAGCTCAATCCCTTTTAGTCATTCCAGAGTTATGCCACGTTGAAATTTTGGGGCCATGCTCACTTTTTTGGAAGCCTTAATTTATAAGCATGTTTGAGAGACCATAACTTCATAAAAAATAGAGCTAGTAAGCTGAAAATTTGTATTATTGTAGATTCTGAGTCATAAATCTGTTAGGGGTCCAAAGAAGGGGCCAAAAAGGTCAAATTTGGTCTGTGTCCATGTTTGGGACTCCACACCGTCCACATGAAATCTAAGAATGGTGTGAGATTGTTGTCAGAAATGGTCATTCTCTGAGATATTCAGGTTCAGCAGTTAGTTTGTAAATATCAGCTTGGAGTAAATAGATCTTGGATCTTAAATATTGAAAAAAAATAAATAAATAAATGTAATTAGCGGCAACCAAATTTGAGATTATGGGGGCCCACAACACCCCACTTAATAAAGATACCAAATATTTGACAAGAATATATGACCCGGAATCAATAATACATATTTTCAGCTTCCTAGCTCTATTTTTTATGAAGTTATAGTCTCTCAAACATGCTTAGAAATTAAGGCTTCTGAAAAAGCGGGCATGGCCCCAAAACTTCAACGGGCCATAACTCAGGAATGACTCAAGGGATTGAGCAAAAATTTTAGACTGTTTCATTTTAGAAATTTTTTAGATTTTTTTTTTTTCAGTCAAACCTGAGATGACTCATAGGGAAGATTCCTTGAAAACAGCTGATTTCATATGGACTAACCCAAAGGGTTTTTACATCACTGTATGTTAGTATATTTACAGTAAGTAATTTGATAATAAAATAGTGTGAATTTTTTATGTTTTTTTCTCAAACAATAAAATGTGAAATATGAACCAGCTAGTTCAGAGAAAATTATAGATCCTGTCACTAACAAAATGCAAATTGTGGTGAAACGTAACAGTAAAAGTAGCAAAATACTGTACTTAAGTATACATCTTAGGTATCTGTATTTTACTAAAGTACATTTTCAAGTAGACATTTAAGAGCAGGTATCTGTATTTTTTATTATTGTTTGAGACCTGCTGAAAAGGTGGAAGGTTTATTTTTAACACATTTGCACACACATTAGCACACACATTGTAGTTTGAGCAAAGAAAAATATGCAAATAAAAACAGGTAGGAATCTTTATCAAAACCTCTACATCTGAAGCTTTATTAAACCACAAACTAAGCATAAAACACTTTTACTTTTTACTTTTTAAGTACATTTTAAATGAGTACTTTGTTACTTTTACTTAAATAGATTTTTTAATGTGATACTTTTGAGTACTTCATTCACCACTGTGCTATATACCCCTAAAAATATAAAATGGGGTAAATGTTGGTTAAAGCAATTTTACAGAGACAAAAGTATATAGGTTTGTATTGCAAATTACAGGGCATGAACTGGGATGATCTAACAACTTGCCCCAAACAAAACTGGCCCTGCTTATGGGCAAACCCTAAAAATACTAAAAAAATAAACAGCAGTGGCAAACAAAAGCACCTTGACAGTTACGTTAATCATAAATCAACTTATTACATAGTGCTTGGTTCACCTCTTGCACAAATAGTTGCTCTTTATCTAGTTCACTGGCCTTGTGTCAACACTTTGTTCCGTGTGTGAGTGATTGTGCTTCTTTTGTGCCATGTTTCATGTTTTAAAAAAAGCTGACTCACTTCTGGTCCTCCCAAGTCCGTGCGTACCCAGCCCGGGTGAAGCATCATGCAAAGAATCTCATCTTTCTGGAGCTCCACAGACGCACAAACTGAGATCATATTCAGTGCTGCCTAAATACATATAATTAGAATTAAGCAAAAGAGAAGATTCATTATAAAAAAAAACAACTGAAAAGTGTGTATGAATAAGAGTATGAATAAGATGACATTTTTGCACTAAAGTTTAATTTTAGTTTAATTTTTTCCTTTTACATTTGTACAACGTCTGAACATCCACCAAGACATTTGTTGACCAATCTACTTTTAATGAATTGCATTGTTACTGGTACAGCCTCCAAATGAAACAAGAAATTCATTTTTGTCAGTATTGCCCACCCCTACTATCAGATACAGTGTAGTAATTGTACTGATGATGAGAAATAGGTAAGAGTTTGAAAAATGAACTTACCTTACTGGCACGGTATGGTAGAACGGTCCATTTATTGTACGTGTCTTTTGCAATTTCAATTGAACCAACAATAGAGGAGATGTTGATCACAGCTGCTTTGCGACAGGACATGCCCAGCGTCCCAGAATCCTTAGCTGCAGCACGGAGAAGAGAAATAAACTCCTGGAATGTATGTAAAATTACAATGTTGAAAAAAGTTTCAAAAAGACATTGTGATTACTTTGGTTCTTTTACTTGAATTATAACCAGAGGCCCAATCGCATTTGTGTTGAAACATTTGTACATTTCTTCTGGGGTGCTCGAGAAAACGGGGCTGTGAATTGCCATAGCTGCATTGTTTATGATGAGGTTCAGACCACTCTTTCCAACAATGGGTCCCACTTGTTGAGCCGCTTCCTTGATGCTTTTGGGATCAGCAGCGTCTAAAGAATTTCAAAAAACAATGCAATGTTTCAGTTGACTATGTATTTGCACAAGTAAAAGTAATAAACCTCTAAAAGTATCAAAACATAAATACAGATTAAATGGGTATGTGCAACTACAGGTTCATTCACACTTTAGTCCTGATTTGGTCCTGGTTTAAACCCAGTTTAAAGCTGATGTAGCCCTGTTTTAGTCCTGGTCTAGTCCTCGTATTAGTTCCAGTTTAAGTCACAATATTAAAGCGATATGGGTGCAAGTGTGAGTGCACCCATAGACAGTAGTAAGATATAGAAAGGCTTTAGTATTAAATGACTTACCCAAACGGATAATTTTGATGATGTCTGGGTGTTTCTTTGCCAGAGCTTGTAATTCCTAAAAACAGTTTGAAGTAACAGTATCATAAATGGCATTTTTATCTTAACTGTAGAGTACATGAAAAGTTACCTCAGCTCTTGGTCCATCAGGGTCCCTACAGCACGCGAACAGCACGCTTACAGGATTCTGCGTCTCCACCATCTGTTTGACCATCTCCAGACCCAGGCCTCTGTTGGCCCCTGTTATTAACACGCTGATCGGTTTAGAAGACATTTTCCTCCTCTTGCAGATTCAGTGACTGTTCCAGACTTTGTCAAAGTGCAGCATCTACATTGCTTAAGCCACACCCTCTGACCTCAGCTCAACTCTTGACTCCACCTACCATATTTAGATTTTGTGTTGTCTGAAATATAAACCATGACTGTATAAACCCCAAACACTAAAAATATTTTATTGTAATGCAATATGGTATACACACTACAGCTTAAAATGAATTCTTTCCTTGTTTTTTGTGCAGTTAACATTCCCTCAATACAATGTACTCTTTTTCTGGATTTTTATTATTTATTTTTTTAATAAACATTTGACTGGTTTGGCTGATTTCATACAAAATGACAAAAGAATGACAAATAGAAACTCCTCAATGTAGTTAGAAGTGTAGTTAGAAGTAGGTAGTAGTTAGAAAAATTACATACTTAGTCTAGCACTAACACACAGTATTAATATCCAGTAAGCCCATTTCTATCAGCACAGCTAAGCAGCGTACATTGTGTAATTCATTAACATTAATGTTGACCATAAAAATAGAAATCGACTAATAGAGTCTGTGATAAGCTTTAGTAAAGAAATACTTTCTACCTTGCAGAAAGGGAAAACTGCATAGTGCACCTTTATTCAAAAGATCAAAGTCTTTGGTTATATCTTTATATTTGTCTTTCAGCAAAAAAAGACACCTGGCTGTTAGGTATAAGAATAGATTACTTTAATGAATGATTAAAGACATTTTATATACCACTTTAATTCTTCAATACCACAGTGCTGTATAATTCAGATCTACCAGGGGATGCTCTGGCCGTTATAATCCAGCAGAACTCCACTGTGCTTCTCGGTCATGGAGTTCATCACCTGCAACATCCCCTGGACACTCTCCTGAGTGTTCATTGTGGCCTGAAGGTGAAAGAGAAAAAATATGGTTTTCCTGCTTTGTCATTTAAGAAGTTCTCAGACAGATCAGTAGGTTGTCACAATGCATCTATAATAGTTATTATCTATTAACTCCACAAGTCACTAAATGTCTCCATGTGTCCCGACAGTCGACACATGAAAGCCAAGTGACACTGTAATAAACACTGGGATTAGTGCAGGGAGGTGACTCACATTGGGTCCGCCCATGTCAGTCCGGACCCATCCGGGGTGCAGCAATGTGCACAGGATCTCATCCTTTTTCAGCTCAAGACTAGCACACATGATCAGCATGTTCAGAGCCACCTGGAGAAAACACAACACTCTAGCAGCTTTATATGACTTTGAGCTCTGGGATATTGTAAGTCATAGTTTTTCAGGGATTGCATACAAATATTTTTTTTACCTGCTTCAGACAGAAGAGTTGATGTGAAAAAAGTCTATTTATTAATGGGAACATGAAATTTTATACAAAACATCCTCAAATAAAAAGACTTGCATGACATTATTGGTAATTGTGTTTTCTGCTTACAAACTCTACTCATTTTATCATGTGTTGGTCTTGCACCAGTCTCACTGAGCTGTATAGGTCATTTTCTTTCTTGATAACATATAAAGAATAATTAGGCCAAAATTACACACATTCATCAGCTGAACAATCTGCCACACTAGAAGAGGATAAAGAGGAGACATTGATAGCCCATCTGTATAAAGTGTAACGTACCTTACTGACACGGTACGGGACGGTGCTAAAGTGCTCATATGACTGGTGGGTTAGTTCAATTGATCCGAGAACAGAGGAGAGGTTGACCACAGCAGCTTTTTGACAGGACATCCCAGGCACTGTGCTGGTCTTCACTGCAGCGCGTAGATAAGGAAGAAACTCCTAATCAGGTGACAAAAAGTTAAACATGCTAGGTAAAAAGTTTTAAATAACCTACAGTAGGCTATAATCTGCTTCCCTAATCTCTTACTTGAATGATGCTCATGGGGCCGATTACATTAGTGTTGAATTCTTTAGCCATTGCCTCTGGAGTGGAGTCAGCTACATTGGAGTGAGTTAAGGTGGCTGCATTGTTAATGACAAGGTTTAGGCCTTTTCCTCCCAGAAGTGAGCCCACCTGTCAGCAGCCTGTTTAATGCTGCTCCGGTCTGCAGTGTCTAACAAAGAACATTCACATTAAAGGTCCTGTATTACACAAAACTGACTCTTGTGAATTTTAAGACATGTTATAATGTTGTTACCTCATCAGAAACATACCTGGAGTTGTGTTTTGTTTCATTCACGCATGTTTGTGTAATACTTTATTATTAGTCTGTCTACATCTCCAAAGCTCAAAATGCTGCGTTCCACCTTGTGACGTCATGAAACCGTAGTTTTCAAGTTCACTTATTGTTCAGTAAAGATCAGCATTTGCAGGATTGAAATTCCAAATGATTCCAGTGAAGGTGTATGGAGTTTAAAAACATAATGGAGCACTTCCTGTATTACCACATGACCTCACAAGGTTGAACAGAGTGTTTTTGTATGAGAGAAGAGCACAGCTTAAATATGTAGGCAGGGTTTGTGTGTTAAACATGTGTGAATGAAACAAAACACAACTCCAGGTATGTTTGTGAGGAGGAAACATCATTATAACATAGATCTGAAAACACAGGAACACAGGAATGGAGGAAGAAACTTGACTTTTTTTGTGTAAAAGTCTGTCTTTTTTATGTCCAGGAAATTAATAGTGAAAACCATATTTATTTGGTTTTAATATTACAAAATCAAATACCAAAATTTGACCCAATAATATAGATTTTTGTTATATAACTCAGAGATCTTTATACCCCATTGTTTGTTTTTAACATTTACAATAAACAGCATGATATGTAAAAATATAAACCTACTGGAGTTAAATGCATCATAATGTTGACTGCATTGGGTGGGTGTGATGGGGGCTGCAGATCTTTAATGTTGTCTGTATACAATATATTGTTATAGTGTATAATAGATACAACTGAAGAACTGAAGAAGCAACTTGGATGAGCTGCGAAACATATTTGACCAAATAAACTTTGTCCAGTTGACAAATTGAATTTCTGCTTTACCATAACAGATACAAGTTACATGCCCTGGTAGTGCAGCCCTCACCCCTGATTGGCTGAGCTCTATTTACCTATTTTAGCCACTCCTCAATTCTCAGTTGAGCCATTTCAAGAGCAAATTATGTCACTGTAGTTTACTTAACTTTGAAACAACTTAAGTAATGTTTTTTATTAATTTATTATTAAAATAATTAATACCTTTATACGGCTATACATGTTTAAATTAAATGTTTAGGCCTAAGAGAAATTACAAAAATAAATTACCTTTTAACCTTTTAAAATTGTAATTCAGAATGTTAGTTCTGTCCAACCATACACTGTTAAGGAGTAACACAATGATTGTATTGTTAAAGGAATTTGACAGTTGCAGATTAGCCTTAATTGAACTCAAAAAAAAAAAAAAAAAAAGGCACTGAATAAGATTGAATACTTACTGTTGCATCCACATTTAATGACCTTAAATGCAAAATGTAACTGGCCAGACCACTGTGCGTGGTTTAGATTATATGATTAATTATATGTGAATAACATATTATCTTAAAGTGGGATTTGTGGGAGTTTAGAAGGACAGAAATGCCCTCCAGCTTGCTGACATTTACTACTACTTTACTACTACTTCCACAATAAACAAAATTATAGTCAACTAGAAAAGCACTCAGAGAGCGCAGACCTCCGCCAAGGACTACCCCCATTTTTTATATAAATTGCGATAAAATCAGTCTTCTGGATCAGATCCGGATCAGCCTTTGGAATATGAAAGAGGATCCCATTGTCCATCCCTGAGTCAAATTTCATGGGGTTTGGTCAATAATTAACCGAGATATTGAAAAACAAAATTTTTGGCCCCATTTACCACAATGTTAACTAAAATTTCAAAGTGATCCAGAATCCAGGACATTTCCAACAAATCCTGAAAATTTCATCAAAATCGGTCCATAACTTTGAGTTATGTTGCTAACAGACAAACAAACAAACAAACGCCGGCAAAAACATAACCTCCTTGGCGGAGGTAATAATATCAGGTCCTGTTATATGCAACATTTTGAGGACATTTTCTCATTCAAAATATATAATAATTGGTTTCAAATTGATAATCACTGTGGCAACTGTCCAATTTTTTCATTATTCTGAAACCCATGGACAGAATTAGGACTTACCCATACGGATGATTTTGATGGTGTCTTTGTGCGTCTGTGCCAGAGCTTGCAATGCCTACAAATGGAATCATATCTTGTTGGAGCTAGTTCAGCAATACCTTGATAGTAAAGGTTTAATTAAGCCCATTCTGTTTTTAATGTTTTCATATTGTTTCAGCTCCTAAATATACAGGCGTACATATAAATACGTATAACAAAATTCACAAAATTCTGAAAACCAAAAAGTGTAGTAGTGTGATACAATGATAATATTTGACATTGAAAAATCATATTCATAAACACACTCATATTTGTGAGAAAAATGCTGGATCTTTGCCTCAAAATACTATTCTGCGCTATTCTGCTTTTGAGTGGCGCTCTTAGTTCAATAGATGGTCTTTGGAATTCCCAAAACTTACAACTATTGGCTCGAGCGGCTCCAATTTAATTTCATTATCCTTATTATTATTGTTTCTATCTATAATCCACGCTCGTGGAGTAATGTACTGCCTGTGTTATTCCCTGTGAAGAAAACTATGTTGCATAATAACATGACGCAGCTATAGCCATGTAGTGACCGAAGACCCCCGCCAGGTTAACTTATGAAACTTGGTGGGCTACCGAAAGAAAGAAGGGTAATATTTTTATTCCACTACGATGCTGCCCGAGCTGGTACAAGTAGTCTACCGTGTAAAATACACGACTGGCACTGCGCGTATTAAATGCCATGATGTGAATTTTACCTCAGCTCTGGGTCCGTCCGGATCCCTACAGCACGCGAACAGCACACCCAAAGGTGCCAAAGGACTCTGCGTCTCCACCATCTGTTTGACCATCTCCAGACCCAAACCTCTGTTGGCCCCTGTTATTAACACGCTGAGCGGTTTGGAAGACATTTTCCTCTTCTTTGCAGACTTCCCCCAATGCACCTGACCGCGTGGAGCATCCGAGTGGAGAAGACTTTTCTCACGCCACGCCCCCTGTGGGCGGAGCTAATCTCTGACTCCGCCTCTAAACTGAAGCGCGCACATTGACCGTATATGTGATGGACAGTAGAGTGAGTTTAAGTAGAGTGAGAGAGTTTATATGAAACTATGCCATCTGCAATTTTGAGGCAGCTAAACCAAATCTCTGCTCAAACTCACTCATGTCAATGTACTCATTACTGTAAAAATAAATAAAAACAAACTAGAAAAGCACTCAGAGAGCGCAGACCTCCGCCAAGGACTACCCCCATTTTTTATATAAATTGCGATAAAATCAGTCTTCTGGATCAGATCCGGATCAGCCTTTGGAATATGAAAGAGGATCCCATTGTCCATCCCTGAGTCAAATTTCATGGGGTTTGGTCAATAATTAACCGAGATATTGAAAAACAAAATTTTTGGCCCCATTTACCACAATGTTAACT